GCTACAATCTCCGGCAAAAAAAAATGAGACACCCACAATTGTTAGGTCCTATACCCCTTCCCCCTCGGCAATGTTGATTGCGGACGACAAAAAGACGCGATTTCCTAGCAAAACCCGAAAACATCATTCTAACAACATTGAACTAGGGGAAGGGATCTCAAGTGACCCGTTTATATTGCAGAAGATTGCAGGTAACAAAGACACAAAACAGATGTAATGTTTAAAGTCCGACAATGAGGACTGGACGGAATTTCAAGTCCGCGCAATTAATTACAGTCCGAGGTGTTAGGGGAAAAAAGCGAAGGAAATACATATAACAGAAATATATTGATGCGTTTCATCTCTAGTCAGGTGTTGAGTTTTTCATAGTTTTCAATACATTAAGAACCGTTTGTGTTCTCCAATGATTCCAATCAAAAACTATTCAAATTGTCTTTGTCTACTATACATGCATTCATACATCTCCTTCTATTAGTGAAAACTATTTTAGGAGAATAAACATTGAAGTATTGAAGTATTCCTGATGACTGAGCCTTCATAAATATGTTACCTTCCGAGGTATCGCATCGGCRACTCGTAGTTGTAATGGTATGACGGCGCATTCGTGAGTCTGTCACGTTTCAAAGACGTTTTTCTTCACTTAAACACTTCTATACAAAATTGATTATTTCTAATGATTATCATTAGTTAGTAGTAGTTTGAAAAAAGGTASAAGTAAATGGAAACAAGGTAGAAGTAACTGGAAACAATCGAATAATTGATAAGCATGAGCAAAAATTGGGCAAAAATGTAACAGTCAGAAGAGTTAGGTTTATTCTACTATACTAGKGACTTTTCAGAGTAAGAAAACAAGAGAAGTTTCGGTGTGAGATTGCTACCGAGCAAAACAGAATAATGTAAACCGGCCAACGCGCATCCCAAGACAGTTTTAGCTTTGCACTTCGAGACTTCGCACTCTGGTCGATGGAATCAATGATTGCTGGTCCAGAGAACAATGGTGCATGTATCAAACATTGTCTTAACACTTCAAAGTGCTTTTAGTTTTGTTTTAATTGGGAAATGGCCTAACAAGCCTTTGACGAATTGAGTATTGTTAGAACTTGTGATAATTTTGCGCGTCCCATTGTCAAACTAACAGTGCGAAAAGCTGTCTGTTAGGCGCGAGGTGATAGGTCATCTAGAAGAACAATGCAGACAATAAAAGCTTTGTCCTTTGCCACACAATAGACGCTGTCTGTCAGGCGCGAGGTGATAGTCATCTAGCAGAACAATGCATACAATAAAAGCTGTGTCCTTTGCCACACAATAGACGCTATCGAACGTCAATCATCAGTGCATAGTTGTCAATCAAGCATTGCTATATATATTGAGCGGATACCATTAGTCAACAACATCACTAGCTCTTTTGTCAGTAATGAAACAGTGTGCGAA